AATAAATAATTTTTTAAATAAAATAATGACTTATTACATATATGTATTAAAATTGAACGATACATCGATCGACAACGTAGGAATATTCTTCAAGGACTTCACACCGATTACTCTCGACGATACTCCGGTAATAGAATTACGCATCGTCAACAGACTGGGCGAGGGGGTTCCCCGTTCTCCCGGGTGTTACCCGAGTAAACAACGGAGCGGCGCGCCTATCGTTAACCACGCCGTCCGCACGTGAAATCACTGGCCGCACAAAGCCTCGTTTAACGGACGAAAAATGAAAAACAATTCCAATTTGGAACGTCAACCGTTTGAATTTGGAAGGGGGGCGGCGAGGCGTGCGGCGCGTCGAGGCGTCCGAATCGCGCGGGACAAACGAAAGCGTGCGGGGGATGAAGTCCCGGCCGGAATGCGGTCGTTTTTTAGCCTGTGCACGCATGGAGGCTAGGAAATAGCTTTTAAATTATTTGTTCTATTTTAAAAGTGTTGAAAACAGGGGCTAATACAGGATTTCGGTAAATTGCGTACTTTTGTACAAAATCAAGTTCGTTTCTCAATACAATGAAGTAATTCTATTCTAATTTTTAGATTTGAAACCGTTTTAAGAACCGTAGAGTAGTGTATAATAATTTCTTACGTTTACGTGAAACTACAGATATCTAAATTTTATGGATTGTATAACATCGCACTAAGCTACGTTTACCTTCTATTCTCAATTACATTTCAAGTTTAAAATTTTCTGCACTGTGAAATTGTGATTGCGAACTTGAAAATAAGTTTGAAAATCCTGTAAAATCAAACCTTATAAATTATTTACAGATTCCGAAGTTTTATTGAGGCTCAATTCAAGGCGAGATTTATAATTAAATGGCGTACTATTTCAATTTGGTAAAAAACAAAATATTTTAGACGGGTGATGCCTGCAGAACTCTTGAAAGCGTCTAACTCATATGGCATTAAGTTAGTTGAACATACGTTAATTGGGGCTGTTGGTCGAGAGATGTTTTGCAAAGCGGAACGGCAAACCTTTTATGCAGTCGAGCGGGAGTATTGAAACTCCGTACAGGGGATGATTGAAATTGAAATAAAATCAAATTAATCCTGCTATGGATGAATGAAAAGATTATGGGATATAACTTACGAAGTATTAGAAAGAAAGAAAGAAAGAAATGTTTATTTGGTACGAAAAACGAGTTACTCTAACAATAAGAAAATTTTAATAAAAATTAACAATTAATGCACAAAAAGGTCATCCACTCAACATTACTTCGCGGTTGCTGGTTTTCTGTGAAACCTGGATTAGTAGTTTAGGATGATATTTGTAGTTTGGGATGAAGTATTGTTTAAGAATTCATTGGCGGTTCACACTAATGATATTTTTTTTAAAATCATCATCATTATTGGCTATTTTGTTACGCCATCTATTATCCTACAGCGGTTCCACTGAAATTCAGCATTCACGAAGTTTATTAGCTCCGTGAAGTCATGCTGAGCGTAAATCAATAAATTGTATCGCTATTCACTGCAAACAATTTTCATTTATTTATGTAGGAAATAATCGTCTTTCTTTATTTCTTCAGGGAGTCCACTACTAAACATAGGTCACCGCCAAAGACTGCCAAAAATCTATATTTTCTCTGTGTCTATATTTTCGAAATAATGATAAGAAAATATGTAATATACACAAATTCGAAGTCTGCCAATCCGCGGTAAGGCCACGTGATTATTTCCTAATACCTTCTGTACTGAGGAGTTCAGCGGGACATGTTTAGGCTGCTCCCTTACTCATAGACTTACTATATGCTAAAAGCAATATATTACATATAGCGTAGGTATAGCAGTGATACACTGATCTCAGGCGACTAAGGTTATTATTTCAATGCCTGACCCAGTTCAAGCAAAATTAAGACAATCGAAATGAAACGAAATATCTCTAAGCGCTCGAAGCGCTTAAACAGTTATAAGTAAATATTAATATGTATCGTCAGATAATTATTTATTTCCCCACTCTCGCCAAAACACCACTCCGGTTTATTTGGAAATTGATCGGAGCAGACGTGCAAGCGGGGAGGCATTCCTTTGTCGTTCACAACAAAAGAGGCAGCGAAATGTATTGCGCTGTCTGACTTCCCTGTAAGGAGAGACGCCTGCGTTCGTCTTTACGACAGGCGGTACGCGGACGGGGGAATTGCGTGAAATGTAACGTGGCTCTACTGTCGCTTACTTTCATATATGTTTCATCTAGAATATTCTTAAATTATTTCCTTCTGTAGTACTGGTCATGACTGTGGGATGACCCACACTAGATGGAATGACGATCTATGCTATGGGTGCTATGCACAAACTGCTACCTAATCTGGGAGGTCCCAGGGAAGGAGTTGGAGGTGCGATCGATGACCCTGTATGGTGCACTCGTATGGTCGCATCGACTAACAGGCGTCCGTCGCTGCAGAGCTAAGATTTATAGTCTGCAGCGAAGGATGGCTATCAGGATCGCACGAGGATATCCTTCGAGGCGGCCACTATCCTAGTTCAGTTTCCTCCAATGGACATCCTGGCAGAGATGGATGCGCGAGTTTATACTCGCCTCCGTCATTCGCGGGAGGATAGCGAGCCCCTGGATGCGGGCGAGAGGTGCGGAAGCAGGAGCGCACACGGGTACTGGAGGTTTGGCGTGAGCGGCTGAAAGAGCTTCGAAGCCTGGCTAAGCGCAACGGGGTATGCGCACGTCACCTTTCGGCTGACGCAGGTACTCACGACGAAATGTCACCACTGTGGAGGTGATCGGGACTCCGCGCAATATGCGCTCGCTGAGTGCCCTGCGTGGGTGTCCGAACAACGGATCCTGGACCAGAGTATCGGGACCAAAATAACACTGCCACTTCACTCCGGCCTTCTGTAATGTCGTGGTACCTACCGAAGAATACCGCGTGGCCCAGAGACCTGAACAAGGGACATGAAGACATTTATTAAAAATTGGCTAAATAAAAATTTTCCCCGGCTGAAAATTTAGGGTTTTTATCCCAATCTTTTCTTTAACTTTGAAATTTTCAATAATTCAATATGTCTATGATTCAACCCAGAATTTAGAAGTAGAATAGTTGTTATTATTTTCTGAAATATAAAGATAGCTCATGCGTTGGAGGAAAAAGGAAAAATAAATATTGACTGGCAAGTATTATTTTGAAGCAACTTTGCGAAAAGCAACCTATTAATACGTTAAAACGAGGGATTGTTTTGGTTAAAAACAATACGAACTTTTAAACGGTCGTACAACGTTTTAACAATTCCCATTTCAGTTAAACAATGGGGGAAAGTTTTTCGGTTTCGGTATATTGAAATTGGTGTTGTAGCCGGACACAACTTCCGCTGTTCGCGTTAAAACTTTTGGCATTATTAATAGTGATTGAAAGCACAACAATTGTTTATGCGGTCAACCGAAGCTAGAGCGTGCTTCATTTCCATGTTTTATGTGTGTATTTTACGAATCTATATGTCTGTACTGATATTATTAAGGGGTGAAATTTAACTATTTCCTAGATTTACGCCTAAATTTCATCGTAGTTGTGTTATTGATTTTAAGTCTCGAGGTTTTATCATTCTTTACAGAAATCACTATAGACGTCGTGAATTCTCGCTTTTATACGGCAATCAAGCGATACTCGACATTTTTTTGTTATTTGTCGTAAACCCAATGATATAATATTCGACAATCAAAAATATTTCACTGCTGCAGATTCAAAGTCAAAGTCAAAATTCACTTATTCAATTTAGACTTAACTTAAGCTCTTATTGCGTAAAAATACAACAACTACTCGTAAAGGATGTTACACTTCAAAACAACATTCAAACCAATGATATGCAATAGTAATGACATACAATCAATCATAATTGATATACGTTATACGTTTTTATATTATTGCAAAAGCTTTTTTTTATGTGAATAGTTGCCAAACGAGCAGATGGTTCACCTGATGTTAAGTGAATACCGCCGCCCATGGACATCTGCACATCTACACCCGAGGGTTCCAGATGCGTTGACAACCTTTTGTAAAATTGGGCTCCGGCTACCTCATTCGCCAGACACAACGCGAAAGTATTATACTTCCACTTTACGCCGGTTAGGTCGTGGTACTTACCCGGACGAGATCACCCTACGTGGCCCTACCACCGTATCTTGTCGCCACATTTTCCTGTTTAAAAGTTTGTATGTACATAATTTCTTATGCTGTTTATGAGAAAATTATCATATTTCATGCAAATATCTTTCGCTTTGTGAGATGTGATGAGGAAAGTTCTTTAAAGAGAACTTCGACAAAAATTATGAGCATTCTAATGGATCCGTTCTTGCTGTTCTTCGGATCAGCTATCGTAAACGCGTCAGGTGTGCGCAAGTAAGACGATGGTGCGATTCAATTCCGCACAGCGCCATCTAGTCTCCTCTCGGACCATCTAAACGCTGAAAACTTTTTCTTTATAACTGTGGTTAAAAAAAAAACTTTTTACATTTAATTGTATATATACGTGTACTAAATAATGAATTTTTACATGTAAAACAATAGCTAAACGCACGAACAATTAAACATAGCAAATGCTTTGGATTGATCAACAACTAGAATTCTAGCAATTAGTCTATAAATTTTTCAATAAAAATTCATATTTTAAGTTTCATTTTCAATGCAGAGACTAGCAGGAAATTCTTGCTCTGTTTAAACTATGTATATTGACCAAGTCCGTACGCTTCCTCAATTGCATCTATCCAGGTTATTTCTGCGAAATCCTACAGTCGATATACAGAATGGGGTTATTTTGTAGACAGCGTACAATATGGATCCATTGATTCCACTGCCTGCCATGGCTCTATCTAGAAGTGAAATGTTCCTAACAATTGCTTGCTGTCGTTAACTTTTATTATCGCCTGCGAACTGTGGTTAGATATTACATATCGCGCTTGTGTCCACTGCGTAGTTTTGTTTTTGCTAAGTGTGTTAGGTATGCAAAGAAAGTTCAAGGTATGCAATTTTTTGTAAACACTCATTATTTCAGAATTTAAGTATTTATCTTTTGCAACTCTTAAGACTTACCAAAAATGTTGCTATACTTCCTTCATGTTGACTTCCACTAGATGTTTTTTTATTTTTTTTTCTATATTTCGCGACAATTTGTCAATGACAACTAAGCAATACAATTGATACATACTCAAATATACTTTTACTCCATGAATAAATACATATCATAATTATTTAAACCATTCTTTCAGCACACAAATTTTTTCTAGTAGTAGGGGATTGAATCCACAAATTCTGACGCTGAAGACAGACTATCCAATACGCCAGCTGGGTTCAGTATGAATGTTATAATGTTCATTTGCGACTATGACATGAGATGGTGGCAAACGAGGTGGCGGTCACCTGATGTTAAGTCATAACCGCCACCCATTTGCACCACACATTTGCAACCTCTAGACAGTGGAGTCTTAGTAATATATTATAGCTATTAGGCTTCCGTTTTACCCTTTGGTTACGGAACCCTAAAAATGCACAATTTGTGTGGGATTGCTCTAAAAATATTTGTCGCTCGAGTTACTCGTGCGATCCCTTAAATCGTTCCGTGCTTGCATGTGGCCACATTCAGCACCCAGTTTTAACATTTTGCCTGACCTGTACCCAAGTTTATCATGCCGTGTACGACAACGGTCGTATTGTGTACACAACGTATCACTTTACTGCGGTCGTGTTATGGTCGGCGCGTAACTTTTTACGAGGGGCCTCGATAGCCGAATCAAAGTCAAACTGTCTCTGTTTCTTTGTGATGTCTTATTTAATATCGTCATTCTAGTCCACCTTCTCCAGTTACAGGAGTTAAGTAGCTGTGCCCTGTTCCAATATCATTTTAAAGTTTGATTCTTTGCTAATATTATTTCGCGCGTTTTTTAGTACGACTGAATACCTGTGAGTTATATTTAAGAGGCATTTTTCTTTCGTCATTGAATCAGTTCTTTTTTGGGTTGATAATTTTTGTATTCTATAGAGTCAATAAAGGCTGGCGGGCAATGATTTGTTTAACATACACGTGCAATAAACTATACACAATAGCTACAGATGTAATGTTGATGCAATTTTTAGTAGAAATTAATTTATACACGTCAAACAAATTCATCAAATTAAGCAAATTTTTATCCCAGCTACTAGTTTAAGTTATTTAAACTATTTCAAATAATAATTATACCAAAGGTCTGTATGGTCGATAAATAAGAATAGTATCTTCTGAAGATTATGTAATAACTGAATTGATTGATTTACTTATTCAGGCGGAACGGTTCGAGATTGGGTTAACAAAGCCGCAACGGCCGGTGTATCCCACATATACTGCTCTCCGATGAAATTAATAATGTACGTGGAGCAGAAGCGATACCAAATGCCTTCCAATATCAATAATTGACGAGGGATTCCAGGTGAGCGCTATCGATCTCGCATGACGTGGCTAGTCCCATGATAGCGGCAATGATTTGGTCAATTACATAAAGCTATCCACATGATATGGAATACGCACCAATGCCGTTTACATGTTACGATTATACCAGGCATTGTTCTAACCTGTCTGGTAGATAGCGCTATACATATACTAGTAGCAATAAACCATCGATATGACTTCATCAGTATTGTTTATTGTGTGATAACAATACCAAACGTCTGTGTTGTTCAGAGGCCACATTTTTTACACAAGACTTCTTGGTTTTAACGCACCACTTGAGTTGAAGCCTGTTTAAATTCGCCTTGGAGGTGATAATCACTAATGGACTGACGGTTATATGTACAAAGATAATATGGCCCATGAAGGAATCAACTAGCGAGAGTTTTTACTTCATAAATATTAATCGAATGACGGCATATCCTGATCAACGATTTCAACTTCTGTATTAAGCTCTTATATCTCTTAACTTTATTGCCTTGAATAATACCTTGAATATCAATAGTTTCATCTTGTACATCAATGCACTTTACACCGGAGAATACATCCAAAGTTGAATATCATAATTTTATTTATAAGTGCGAGGCAGTATTATACATGCATAAATGATACACCTGCGGCATCTCGAGATCAATAAACGTCTTTTTGAGGCTTACATGGCAAAATATCGTTAAAGTTAAAGTACTATATAGTGAAAAATAAAATCCGAACTCGGTATATTTTTTTCTCTGTTAAAATTTCATAACTTACATGCAAGAACAAGCAGGTAAAGAGTATTTGAAATGTGTCGTTATTAATTTTCTTATCAATTTAATGGTCAGCCACTTTATCGATAGGACAAATAAGAATTAAAAGCCAACGGACCATCATATTAAAAGGTAGTGAAACGGAATGTATTTGCAACACTGTTTTGTTTACTTATTCCTTGTTATATATTTGGTATACGGTAAAGGAAAGTCTATTAAAGTCAAGGTGGATTCCAAACAAATTGTGAGCTCATTGAGGACGGTATTCACAGCCGAATATCTGGATCGGTTAGCAGACATCATCTCCAAGAAAGCGGCGAAGACTTTCGTTGCTGAAGTGCTCAAAAACATTCCTCAAGCACCAGTGGCTAGTTTCCAAAGGTATGTTCACTTCTAAAATAATTTGTGCCTTTCTTCCATGCCTTCGTTATTCTCAATAATGAATGTTAGCCACACTATCACTGATCAGTGGGTACCGTCTGAATTTTATTAACAAAATGGTATTAATGTAAATATAAGATATAGGTAATTATTACATTGTGATCACTTGCGATCAAACCTTATGGAAATTAGTTATCCACTCATATAATAAATCATCCGGTCTTCTGTTATCTTTGTGAGAGTGAGGGTATTGATGTACCATCTGCGACCACTAACCTAGTTTAATCAATACTCAGATAAATCCTAGGAAATGTCCAAAAAATATCAGTCGCTAAATAACAAAAAAAATTAAAAGTGCGTTTATGTGTTAACGGGCATTATAATATTAATGATTATTTAAACGATATTACACTCTAGACATTAATTGATCGCTCCAGGCTCTTTCAAGTGGACTTTAACATGTTGTAAGCATGTTTTTAGTAGCAAAAAAATTGTTAACAAATTGTCCCACAGAGTTTTTTTCGCTGGTTCTTCTCAATTCAGTGGTTTTTCTTATTAAACCGTTAGTAGCAAATTGACAATCAATAAGTGAATATAATACTCCTATGTTAAATAAAGATTTTTGAATTTCAATCGATCAAGCTCCACTTTCACACAAGTCAATAATTTCAGTGGGCAAGCCAAGCAAAGGGAAGCAGGCAGGATCAGAAAAGAAATGAACACCATTGATGAGCGTGAAGCGATGCGGCTTCTGGAAACACCTTCACCAGATGGTGATAACTTGGATGAGAACTCTGCAGGACTAAGCGACGAACAAAGCTACAATACAAACAGGGTGCCCTTAATAGGTTTAACGAAAATAAACGGAGTTTACTACAGAAGATTTTTAGGCTTAATCTAACTGAACGATAGTGTGCGAAAATTAAACTTGTAATAATAAATATGTATAACTACCCTACAATATATTATGTTTATACACACAAAAGGTTTTTGCTAATGAACATAAGTATTTAAACTTAATGATGTAGACAGAAATAGAATTTGATATACTTTACGAAAATTATCGGACCTCGAATTTATAAACTGCTAAATACGTGGGATGGGTCTGCCCACTGTGTTAGTCGTTAGAATTTAGTGACGAAAGCGCTATGTATAATTAATTTTTCCAAAACATGCAGTCGATTTTGGAGGTAACAATTTATCTGAAAACAGGTCACTACTCCTGTCGACAAAGAACACATTCACAGATTACCAAACACACGAAAAAGCACATTTGCAACAACTTAATCGGCCAGTCTAGCTGTGCAACGCTCGTCGATATTGGACGTTCCAAGTTTACCGAGTATTCTATGACAATGACAGTGAATATCGTGTACTGTAGATGTGAAGTCGTTACGTAGAGCCGTTGTCGTCGGAGAGAGGGATATCCGCCAAGATTGTCGAGCGCCATAATTCATGGGACAGTATGAATTATTGATGTTCTGCACAATGCCGGGACGCCTGCAAGCCCGTAGAGGATATTACACGATAAATAAGCGCTTTACGTTTTTAAAATGAGAAGGATGGACGGAATGAGGTGTGGAAACCATTATGCTGACTATCGTGGCTAGAATGAATCTATGAACGATACGCCACGGTGCAAGATTCAGCTAAACACTCAGCTAGCATTGCATATTTATGATTTTTATAAACAGCATCCTAAATTTATCCTTGTTTTTTCTACTCCATTCAATTACATTTTAGTCAAATATTGACTGAAACGTAACGGTGGTAGAGCCGCGCAACAATTTTCGATGTTGCACGAATGAGCAGGCCCGTTCGGGAAACTACCACGACCTGACAGAGGACCAGTGTGAAGTGGAAGAGTTATAATTCTTCGTTTCGTCGGGTGAGCGATATAGCCGGAACCTACTTTAGTAAAAGATGGAAAAGCATTTAAAACTACACGGGTGTTCCAAATGTTCGTGGGCGACAGTTATCATACAACATCAAGTGAGTTGAATTCATAGACTAATTTTACGTGAAAAAACTGAACATTTTCTTATTATATGAATACTAGTCATGCCGCCAAATCCACGACACGAAGCGCCAAAATTTATGACATAGAAAGTAATAACACGAAATATTTGAAATGTTACAAACTAGATGTTAATGTGGTAGGGCCACATTAACATCTAGTTTGTAACATTTGCACGAATGGGCAGGGCCGTCAAGGTAAGTACCAAGACCTCAGAGAAGATCGGTGTAATGTGGAAGTATAATGCTTTCGCGTTTCGTCTGGTGAGTGAGGTGGCCGTAGCCCAATTTTCAAAAGCTTGTCAACGCATCCGGAACCCTCGGGTGTAACAGATGGGCTGCGGTGTTCACTTAACATCAGGTGAACCGTCTGCTCGCTTGGCAGCTTTTCATATAAAAAATAAATAAATCCATCTTCCAAACTGATAATTACTATTATTCTCATTCTAGTTACGACCTTAATCGTGATTCTAATGACTAACGTAAAACAAATTTGGACACTTTGATGAAATAATACAAACTTTCCTTGTTATAAATTCTTGTGCGCTGTTTTGGCTTCGATCCTAGGTGGAAAAAAAATCGTGTGCTCCATAAACAGTTGTTCACAATCTGGTAGTAGTGTTAGAGTAAACTACAGAATTTATACCCGTTTTTTTAATGTATGAAGGCAGTCTCGTTCACTTTTATGGTTCCGTACCCGCAGGGTAAAACGGAACGCTTTTGCTAAGATTCCGCTGTCTTTTTGTCTATCTGTTCGCCTGGCACCAGGCTGTATCTCATGAACCTTGACAAACAGTTTAAATTTACACAGATGATGTATTTCTGTTGCCAAAACAGGATAAAAATATATTTAACCCCATAGACAACGGCAAATCATGTCTGATTTGCCGTTTTTATAGATTGTACGAAACCTTTCGTGCGCGAATTGGACTCGCACTTGACCGGTTTTTAATGTGTACATGCAGTACAGTGTTTTTTCCTAGGCTGGTAGTGGTTTTTTTTTTAAAAAAAGGATGAAATTCGTAATTTGGCTCACATGATATTTATATTAGTGTTCTTCTTTCGGTTTTATTTGTTAAGTATGCAATTATTATATTGTTTTGTATTGTTTACTGATAAATTATTAGCGTTATGGTATTGTATCAAAATTCGTTGGAAACACTCCGTACAGTGCACACAAAAAAGTAACGTAGCCTCTGTCTAATTAACATTAGTGGACTCTCGCGGCGGGTGATAATTGTGAAGGTCGCGTGTACACTATTCGAATCCATTTGCTAATTACCCGTCATATATACTCACCTAAATTACTAGAGTTCTACTGGAGCAGTTCATAATGCAAAGCTCTAGTCAATTGCCTTATGATCATAATAGGTATTTATAATTATTTGATATTTTCGAAGCGCAATTATTGCGAGTATCAATTTCTTCGTTCCTTCCTAATATCATTGTTTTTAAACGGTTTTATTTAGCTCGACACGTACGGAATTTATTTGTTTATTTGGGTCAAAATTAGAAATTGAAATTTAAGCACCTTCCCGTTGTCAGATTGATCTGAAATTTGGTACACACATTTAATTTAGATGACAAAACAATATTGTAGTTTTCAGTGCACAAAAAAAAAAAAAAAAAAGAAAATAAAACCGTTTAACTTAAAAGTTTTTAAACGGTTTTATCTCTATTTATTGTTTGATATTCGTAAGGTTTAGTAGACAAACAAATGGAACGATTTTCCAGCATCCATATTAAAGTTTCTCGAAAATAAAATATTTCGAAAATCTGTGAAGTCCGCCACTCCGCAGTGGGGCCGCATGGTGGACTATGCCCAGATACCCTCTGTATAGAGGAGGTCTTTGCCCATCAGTGGAATATGTATAGGCTGTTAATTCACTGTACTTAATGAAATAATTCAATTTTTAAATAACGGATTGGCTGCAAAAAAACTTTCGAATCGTACAATATCGTGGCATTTTTTTCTAAATTTACGAACTGATCGGTGTCACAAGATTTCGTGTAACGGTAAACGTTTTTTATCGATTTGTCAAATCGAAAGAGTTTACCATTTAACATTATTACGCTATCCAACTAGCGTTATAATCCCTCGTCACTCATACTTATTTCCGGAGACTCCGTAAGTGGATTGGGGGCATTAGAGTCGTAAATAGGGCCGTTCGATACCAGACACCGGTCCCACTTGATTTTACGGGTGCCGGACTAGAATATTTCACGTCAGTTTCGATGACTGACGTCCGATTTATTAGCGGCAAAGCTGCAACTTTAATCCGTTACGTCGAATTATAACTGCTACCGATCGCTTTCGGTAACGAGACATAATTTCATCAACTTCTTTTTAATCAGACTACTGGCTGGCAGCAGTGTTCGAAATTAACGCAGTTGGAATTTTATACGTTCGAGAGTCGAAAAATAACCAACATATACTTTAAACAAGAAAGGAGTATTTGCAATTTTGATTTCTAAATTCCCAAGTTCGATTCCAAGTGCTTATAGTAACCAGTATTTTTAGATTCTTTTTTAGGGTTCCGTGCCCAAAGGGTAAAAGAAAGCCAAAGGGTATTGCGAAGAGTTCGCTGTCTGTCTGTCTGTCTGTCCGTCCGTCTGTCACCTGGCTGTATATAATGAAATTTTCGCAGATGATGTATTTCTGTTGAGAATAAAAAAAATATTCAAATGGGAGCCCATACAACAATCATGATTTTTGTACCGTTTTTATCGATAATGTGTACGCGAGTTCAACTCGAACTTGGTCGGTTTTTTTTAAATGTTTTTGTGACTACACACATATCAGATCACTATGTGCCTGCTGTCTAAAAAAAACATTATTTTGGTTGTTATTTGAATATTTACAACATTTGTAACATCTAATATGTTATCATCATTTATTTCTGAAATTTTCTGAAGTAATTTGTGAAAACCGATTAACCAAATAGGTATGCAGCAATGCCTTTGATATAATTACTACTTGATACGTAATATAACTGGTTAAATCTCCATTTTACTAAGGGGTTTTATTATATCTAAATATATACTTATGTCATGAGTTGGATGTAATATCATATTAAAGTCCAACATTAACCCAAACACACAGGGGATGCAGAAGCGGAACAACATTGAAAATCAATATGGCTCGATCAAACAAACAAACAGTCGAAACGTGGATAGACTTGTTTAAGCGAACGCGAGCGGGCGGAATAGCGAAAAATATCCGTAAATCTGAGAAAAGTAAACGAACCGTTTTAAAGGAATAAGATACTGTACGTCGGACGGTACAATACGGAAAAAGAAAGCAATTCAGCAAACCCACAGATTGTAAAAGAAAAGTAACAGTCTGTAGGTGTCCCACTGCTGGACAAAGGCCTCCGTACAGATGGTATTATGGCACAGTCCACAGTGAAAGTAAACTTATTTCTTAAGCATATTATACCAAAGCGGAATATCTTAAAGACGCCAATGTGTGATGTTTATAGTATTGATACTCCCGTAGGCCAAAATAAGACTATTATACTATTGTAAACTAATCTTTATAAAAAGAGCAACTGTTGAGTTTCTTGCCGGTTTCTTCTCAACAGAAATTGCTTTCCTAACCGGTGGTTACTTACTTACGAACGTATTCAATTTTTTTTACAAAATTTCGACGTTTCATAAGAACGTCTATGTGAACAAAGATAATTTGAATTTTAATTTGATTTGATCACACGACAACACTGCTGATTGGCAGACATCATATATCATCGAAATATATTTTTTTTTGTATTTTCCACCGCTGACAAAACAGACAATTTATTTGGTGTTGGATTTGGACTCGGGTTGCTCGAGTATAATCAATTAAAAGCGAGTCGACACTGCGCTACTACGGGTATTGTAGAA